TATATTAGATATATAGGTGTAATTGTGTTTGCTAGAAATAAAATCTGCCATGCAGTAAATGGAAGTATCATACAATGCCCTGAATACACAGCCAGGGTTTTCCAGCTCAGCTGACTTTGCAGGCCAGTAAAACACTTGAGAAATTGCTTGTCCTGTGCTTATAAGGCACTTAAAGATTTTTATAACCAATTAGAATGTCATGAATCGTGGGCCCATCGTTTACATTAGTTTCTGACTCATTAAGCTGATACGTGTAAGCCAATAAAGCTGATTAAGCTGCTGGCTGAGAGCAGATAGCAGCCCAGGGAATTTGGGTTTTCAGGGTCTACCAGGTATGTTCTGGTGCTGGCTGATTATGCGATGTAAAGAAAATAATGATGCTGTTGCCCATAGCAACCGCTCAGCTATATTGCATTACTGCCATGGAAAGAGGTGGTTGCTAGGGGCACTTCCAATTGTATCCGCTCGATTTCCCATACAGCAGCCGGCGGATTCCTCTCATCTGGCAACACGCGATTTGCGCAATTGTGACAGATTGGGAAATGGGCGATTGATGTGTTGCCTCGCACATGAAAAAGGCTAAAGTACATATTTCTGATGTAGATATAATGACCCCGGGCAATGCGAATCTCTGTCATCTTATCAGCTCGCCTATGACATAAATAGGTGTATTGTATTCTGAATAAATCGAGATACCTGTTGGGGCGATAAGAGCATTGATTGTATTAGCGGAAAAGAACAAAGTATATAGATGGGACAGACAAGCCAGTAAACAGTGCCATAGTTACCTTCCGATTGACAAATAGTATCTAGGGAATGTATCATTTTAATAAAATGAAAATGTTTGCAGCATGCGCCGAAATGAATGCAGCATTGTCAGGGCTGAGATAAGGAGCTGTACATATGTGAAAGAGGAGGGGGGCTCGTTTGATGCTGAGGGTGGGGAAGTGATGGGGTGTGAGGGGCGGTGAAGGGAAAGTTGAGGGGTCGGTGTAAAGTTTTCTTTTCTGATGTCCTCTGAAGAGGCGAGAAAGTCAGGCGCCCTCTCCCTTGTCATGGTAATGCCCCCCTTTGAGCTGCAGGCTGATTACAGACAAGAGTGGACAGGCTTCCATTCTACAGGCACCCATCTGTCATGTGCGCATAGCTTTGATATACACCTTGCATCCTATTGTCTTTACTGCTGACCGGAAAAGGGCAGACAGCATAGCAAATAAATAAAGATTTGTGGCACAAGCAATGCATCAGATGGGCTTCCCAATATGTGCTCAACTAGGGATTGGTTGAACCTGCAAACAATAACATTATAAGAGCAATTTAGCAACTTTGGAGAAAGAGA